ACTACCGGGATTTGATGATATAGTTATAACAGGAGACTTTAACTCAATCATGGATTTTGTGCTCAAGCCGAATTTCGTGTTCCCGTTATCAATTAATAACTTGTCAATGATATGGGGAAACATTGAAGAGACTTAAAGCTGAACACTGTTTTCAATGTTTACATTTGACGTTTTGATCGTTCGACATGATTTTAGCTAATTACAAGAAAGTTGGTTTGAGCACAGAATCAATTCTTGAGTATGAGAATGGTTTCATGAATGCGAGCCCAGGTCCTCATTTTACAAGGTAAATGAATATCATTCTGCTGTATGGTATGTCGCAGCTCATGAACGAATACACATTTTACACTGAATCAAACTCTAGTCTATTGGATAAAGTATTAGTATGCAATGATCCTATTATTTCACGTATGTATTTAGGCGAACATTGTTTAGGGTAAATCTGAGCAATTCTTTCTCCCCTCTTTCCTATCCTATCCTCCCCCTTTTTCCGCTTTTACTCATATTCTCAACGCATTGCTGCATATTTCGTTCTCAAATAGTATAGTCATAACACATGTGTTCCTCAAATCGCATATGTATTTCTTCCACTGGAGATGGATCTACATAAGTTGTTTCCAAATCAAATTTCAGCAATTGTGTATTGCTTTACATCATATACTGTAAATTAAAAAAATAATTAAATTAAAGCTTATATTAACATTTTTAGAACAACACACGTGCTGTCATTGCCCTTTATACGGCCTACTTCGTCTCAAAACATCGTGCTTATTGTAACAAGCGAAATATCTGATTGTTCTAACACGGAGACACTTATTCCGACCAAAGAACACTTACAGAAGTTCATTAGGACGATCTTATTATACCGGATTATCCTAATAAATCTTGTAAGAATTTTACTGAAAAAATTACTATTGCTCGAGAATATATACCTATATAGTCTGCAACAATCAGACTCTGTGAGACGCCATGGATGTGTAACAAAATTCGTAGACTGATTCGTAAACGAAAAAGAACTCATAAAATCGCTTAATCTTCAAATTCCCCTTTTGTCTGGCTTAATTTCAGACGGTTACGTAACAGATGTGCTAATGCTTGTAGAATTGCTAAAAATAAACTTACCTCTAGCTTACGTGATACGAATAGTCTAAATAGCAAATCTTGGTGGAATACTATAAAATTATTTATCGGCAACCCTGATAAATCAAACTCAATTCCAATTCTAGTACATTCTGGTTCCCAATACGAAACAGCGGGTGATATAGCCAAACTGGTTAATTATTATTTTTTCTTCCCAGTCTGCTGTTGACGACACACGCTCTAATATCCCCGCTAACTAAACTCCAGTTCATAAATTAGACAATATCATTATAAGATGTTTGCGATGCTTTATTATATCTCGATACCTCGAAAAAGCTACTGGACCAGACCTGAAGAATCCACACATATTAAAAGAGGGCACAAATGAATTATCTTTGCCTTTATGCACCATTTTTAACTTATCTATACAAACTGGCATATTTCCAGACTATTCGAGAATAGCTCATTCATGTTATACCTGTAAATAAAAGGAACGAAAACGTATCGCCCTATTTCTCTTTTAAGTATTATTGGAAATGTAATGAAGAGGTTTATGTTCAAGTAAGGTCATAATGTTTTGAATGAGCATAATGTACAAAATGCCAATCTGGATTTCGCCCCGGCAATTCTACTGTAAAAATAAATAATAATAATAATAATAAATTCTTTTATTTAGACAGGGTAACATATTTAGATTTTCATCTAGTTTACAATTTGGCCCTGTAAGACACATTATATATACATACATAAAACAACAGCACATCACGCATACAGAGACATATGACATACAATAAAATAGAAAAAGTAGTTAAAAAGTACAATACATTATTAAGACAACCTATTATATTGTATCACTAAATATCACAGAATTGCATTTAGAACATTAGAACAAAATATCACAGCATATTACAAGTCAATACATACATATATTTATCACAGAGTAATATAAGGATTATCTCAGCAAATTATAATAAACAGAACCATAGGGATAATTTCAAATATTGTATTTTACAATATACATATAGTATATACCATATAGTACTCAGTTTCCCAGTGATTGGGAATCCCCTACCTTCTTGGTCCGCCGGTAACACATGGTATTCATGATCTAGTATTTTTAAAATAATTGGCCAGATATGCCTTTTTAAAAGCCAGAACATTTGTTGTGGTTCGTAACTAAAAGAATTTTTGTAAAAACTTGTTCTGCACTTGGGGATATAGAGCTGGTTCATTGCAGAAGATCTTGTGGTTCTTGTGGAAATCTGGGTTACATAGGTAAATACATTTCGTTTTAAAAATCATGGAACCTGGTCGTTAAGGATTTTATAAGTTAGAACACATTTTCTAAAAATATAAAAATCGTGAATAGCCATCCAGTTCAAAGTCTTTAAAAGTAACGAAGTTGGTGTACGAATTTCTCTTATATTTAGAATTACTCTTGCTGCTCTCTTTTGAAGTTTCAATATTCTTTCCTTAAGCGACACATTTGTAGGATTGCTCCATACTGAAGAACAGTACATAAAATGAGGTTAAACAATAGTCGTATACACCATTTTGGACATTTCTTGGGACATGAATTTTCTGATTCGTTTTAACACTCCAATTTTCTTTGATAATTTCTTACATACATATTCAATATGTACATTCCATGATAAACAGCTGTCAATAAAAACTCCAAGCAGTTTGGCATTGTGTACAGTTTCAATAATTATATCACCCACTTTAACACGCATCTGTCTGTGTTTTGATAATTTTGTGATGAGCCAATAAGCATGCTTTGGGTTTTTGTTAGATTTACACTCATTTTATTATTGGTCATCCACTCACTTGCTAATTCAAGGTCATCTTTTAACTTTTCTTCGACATCATCAACTGCATCAACTTTTACACCCTATGATGTGTCGTCAGCGTACATTACAACTGATGAATGTTTCAAACATGTTGGATAGTCATCCATATGCAAGATAAAAAAGAGTGGCCCAAGTATCGAACCCTGGGGGACACCGATGTTTATTTCCTTACAACTTGATAAAGTACCTTTAAAGTTTACCGCTTGCACTCTACCGGAAAGGTATGATTCGAAAAAGTTCAATGCTATATCAGAAACCCCGTAAGCATTAAGCTTATGCAAGAGCACTTTATGATTTACGGTATCAAATGCTTTACGAAGATCTAAAAACAAAACACCCGTGAATTTACCGTCATCAATATTTTTTGACCATTCGTCTACTAAACCTGTGAGGGCCGTTTCTGTTGAACGTTGAGGTCTGAAACCATATGCATATTGGGATTCAGTTAGAAGTTCATTTGATGACAAATGTTTATAAAAAGAGTTATGTACATGTCTCTCTAATATTTTGCTAACCACAGAGAGGACAGAGATAGGTCGATAGTTATTTACAGAGGTCATGTCCCGGCTTAAAAACCAACAGCTAAGGGTAAGGATTATATCAAGGAAAAGAGAATCTCCTGGTCATTCTGTCTTATATATTTATAAGGTTCCCTTACAAAATATGAAGCCACAAACATTAAGGTGTTACACTGTTTTTAAAAAAAATGTATAACTATAACATTTGGCATAGTAAAGATCTTGGATGGTAAAGTATGTAGGCCCAAGACAATGTCAAATGTCAAATATCTATCATACTACATGTCATTTTACACGAATAAAATATGGTTTAAACTAAATTTTAAGAGATGTTTGTGTCTTCCGGAAATTCTTGTTTTCATTGGCTGTACTGGAGAATATTTAAGAAGTCAACAGCAAATCTATTCACAGGCATATAAACCTAATCATGATTGCAGACAAATCTCACGAAGTGCATTAGAACCCTGGCTTAAACCAATGCAGTTAGCTACTTGTATAGTATACCATCAAAACTACTACGAAATAAACATACTTTGAACAAATTTATCAAGCCAATTAAATTGAAAAAAGGATCAAGCAAAAACAAGGTAATTCCAACTTGTCATTGCTTTCTCCCGTCATAATAGTTACATTTACATGACAACAATGATAATGGGCATAAACATGAAGTAGTTATATACAAAACTCATAAACAACGTTCACAATATACTGCTACATTAGATGCAATGATGGATATGTCTAAACACGTATGTTTTAGGGCCCACCGAAAGAACTGAATTGCCAAACAAAAGGAAATATTTTTTAAAAACTATATAGCTAAGGCATTACAATTTTGAAATTTTCATTACCAATTATTTACTCTGCATTAATAGTTTGTAATAACTTATATAAAACTCCACGAAAGGTTACAATTCTTTTCATTAATTTGTTTATTTATTTCATTTTTTTCTTATGTTATGTCTTTATTTATTTTAATTTAACAAATGTATGGTTAGGCAAATTGAAGGTTACTAAGCATTTTCCTGTTGACAATGAGTGACGCTTTCGATTTTGCTTTGTATTTGTCAGTTTAGATGATTACGTAAAACGGTGTGAAAACTACGCACGCTAACCTACAAATGTGTTAATTAGGAGTTGCGATAGTTTGTATAAATCAACGCTGAATTTCACAAATCTCATTTCAGCATCTTGCTTTCCGCTGAGAGAAAATCCGTTCTCCATAGGAATTCAAACATAAATTTATAATATATTTAATACACATGGCATTGCGATATTCTCATAATCATAGAAGTATGAAATATATGTTTTAGGATAGGATCGTGACATCATCTTACCGAAAAAGGAAAAGGAGAGAGGTCTATTTAATTTCTATTATTTTTATTGAACCCGAAATAATTGTTTCGTTTGCAGTATCCGATCTCAGTTAGCGAGTATCTCATTAATATTGCAAGAGCTAATCTCCGGTAGGCCCTTATTGTCGTTGGTTGCGTGCGGACATTCCAGAAGTGGACTGTTATCGTTGACGCTCTGTACTTTCGATCTACCTAGTATGATGACAAGCTGTCAGCAACATTTCTCTTCAATAGGTCAGCATCAGCAGCAAGCAGGTGGAAACTGTTTTCCTGCTTTAGGACCAGACACCCGTTCTTTTCAAATCTCTCGTCAAACGGCCATGACAGTGAAAGAAAGAACTAGCAAGAGAGCGAGTGGAGAGAAATCTGCTTATCGACATGTCCCTCACAGCCAAAAACCGCCACAAGTTGTCGAGCGTCGAAATGCACGAGAAAGAAGGCGCGTACAAGCTGTTAACACTGCCTTTTTACGTTTAAGGAAGCACGTGCCTTCCCATACGAAACAGAAAAGACTGTCTAAAGTGAAAACCCTCCGGGTTGCGATAGATTATATAAAGCAACTACAGGACATGATTGTTGACCATGATCATACCCCAGCCAGCTTCCACAGGAAGATCATGCCAAGCACGGACAATGTTGGCCAGGAAAACGTCATTCCTAAACTTAGAAATATTCACGACAACCTTGTAATGGTCCAAAGGAAGCAGCAATTCCCATGGGACATGCCAAAAAACTGTACTCCACAACAGGTGAGTTTTTAATTTGTTTAATAGTCTTTTGTTAGCATTTTAGAAAAGCGTGCGGATTTTTATATAATCTTAGTTTTATTAACTTATCTTCAGTGATAACTTAATATTAAATAATTAGTCAAGAAAAGATTGTAAAGGTAAGACTACTTTGAGGTTTTTTAAATCGTTGTCTTGAAAGGATATTTGTATCAAATTTGAAAAAAAACTAATTTGAATAGATGTATATTTCTCTTGATGTGATGTTTGTCTTAAAATTCAAAGAATGTCTAATTTAAATAGGTGTATATTTATCTTGATTTGTTGTTGTGAAAAAATTAAAGAAATGGTTATCTAATACTTTTTCAGCTTTAACATAATAAAACTTTAACATGAAACATAGTTTTGAGATTTACACTGGAAGACTTATAAAACATAACTACTAGAAATTCGAAATAAGGAAATAAATATTTATGAATTATTTTCTCGATACAGAAAGCCAAACAAAATAAATAGCACCATTTCGTCTCTTTAGAACTCATCAGTGATTCTTAAGGTTCAAAGAATAAAATGTCATGCTTAATTTGTTCCGAAACATACATGAATATAGAATTAAAGAGAAAGGATAGGAGGAACCTATAAAACATCTTATTGGCTACAAATTTATAACTTTACGAATTTATATCTTAACGAATTTATATCTTTACGAATGTATATCTATATGAATTTATATCTTTACGAATTTATATCTTAACGAAATTATATCTTAACGGAATTATATCTTTATACATTTTTATCGTTACGAATATATATCTCAACGAATTTATATCTTAACGAATGTATATCTTTATGAATTTATATCTTTACTAATTTATATCTTTACGAATTTATATCTTAACGGATTTATATCTTAACGAATTTATATCGTTATGAATTTACATCTTTACGAATTTATACATTTTCGAATTTATAACTCTTGGCGTCGAGAAATTAAGTGATAATTTACTCTAGAACTATTTACTATTAATCTGTTCCAGAAAACATTTAGTCATTAGGTATATGTAATAAATATATACCTGAATCATAACTTGAAGGAAAATTTCAAATCACCGAGAAGACATGGTTTTTCCTTATCTCCGCTTTATTTTCTCCTTTTCATCGATAAACAAAACGTTTGTATGAAATGATAGCAGTTATTTCTTTCAATTTATTACACATCATACCAACTTGTGAATAATTTTGTTGCTACAGTTTTATTGAAGCTTGAAGCCGTGATTCTCAAAGGCAAAAGTATTGGATATTAAACACCTTTTTAAACTTGGATGGTTTCTTTTTTGAGATATAATTAATTCACTTTCACCTCTTCGCACAAATAATAGAAACAAAAACGTAGTCGTCACTTATAGATTTAATGGTCAACAATTTAGCAGGATGTAAAATAGCTGCGGGAACCGAAGCTTCTATGTCCTATTTTTTATTTTATTTTTTATTTTTTATTTATTGTTTTCGGTTATATGGTCCGATAACAATAATAAAAAAAATTCGGACCATAGATCCGAAAACAATAAAAAAAACCAAAAAAACGTACATAGAAGCTACGGTTCCCGCAGCTAGATGTAAAAGTGATGAAGAAATCATTACACTTCTGGAGATTCTTGCGGCGACTTTTATTACTGAAATTTCTCATTTTTTCCATTTTCCTTTCTTTTGTTTTTGTGTTGACCTGAAGTATCGTTTTTATCTTTTTAACTTTCAATTTTTCAACTTTATCCCATTCTCTTTACAAAAAAAACCCAACTGCATAGAGAAAAGATATTACAATACACAATCAACTGTAAGATATATATGATAAACTTTTATAGACTTCTTAAGATTTTATTATTGGCAGCATTTATAAATCCTAAAGTTTCAACTTTTTAATTTTCTTTTCATTCTCTATACAAAATTACAAAATCAGAAATGCATTTAGAAAACATGTCACATTATGTACAATTACCTCTACATTGAGAATAAACTATGATTTTTTTTTTTAACGAAATTTTGATAAACATTTATAGACTTTTTCAGATTTTATTATTGGCAGCATTTATAAAGATATTCTAAAATTCAACTAACAATTTTCAACTTTCATTCATTGTCTTTACAAAATTACGAAATAACAAATTTATAGAAAAAAACATACAACAAAGAACAGATACAAAAAAAAGCTGTAAGATATATATGGAAAACAAGCAGTAAAATGAAATAGTGATAAACTTGCTTAGACTTCTTAAGATTTTATTATTAGCAGTATTTATAAATTTTGAAAATTCAATAACATTTTGCACAACATAAAAATCATTTATCTAAATATGACCCTCTTTCTATTGTCATCAAGTCAAGAGGCATTCTAAAAAAATCGCCAACATTTTGGGTATAACACATATTTCTCATACATTCTAATGTGAATATCAACATTATTCCGCTTTTCTTTTCTTCTTTAAATTTATGACTTGCAATTCTAATCATATGTACAGAAAAAACAACTTGATTACCATTTCCAGCTAATTTAAAAATTTCAATCATTATTTTTTTTTTATATTTTTTTATCACCCTATCTCAAATCTTGTTTAACAGTACTTTCTTCTCATATTTGGTTACAATTTTCCATGAAGGAAAAATTCCATTTATGCTTATTCATCTTAAGTAAGGACTAGATTTGTTTTCTTTTATAAACAATTCAAAGAACATATTACAAATAACTAGATTCAATATACATTCTGTAGAATGTATTATCCGTGGCAAATGACTGAATATTCTAGTTTTAAATTCAATTGATCAGTAGACGCACCCAGTTCTCTTTAAACCATGCAGTTTGGTGTATCGTTTTCAAATTCAGCAGTAATTTATAAAAAAAATAATAAATATGATCAATACCACGGATCGAAAACGCAATCATAAATCAAAATAGGTTACATAAGTTTACAAATGTTTACAAATGAATGAGTTATACACTTAATAGACAGACATAGTTTTCTAACGTTTCCAAGAAACATCATACTCATATATTGCTACTGTGGCTAATAAAAGATGAACGTCACACATACACAGGCGATTGCACAATTCAAATATTGTGATCGATACAGCTGACAAAAATTAATTACGAATTACAATAACAAAAAGTTGTAAATTCTGGTTGTTCTTAAAATAATTGTTTTTTTCCAGTATTTGTATTGTTTATATTAGCAGTTTGGTTAAAGTGGAGGTCTTCAATTTTTTTTTTTATAAATAATACTTGTACGAAACATTGAAGGGATCTGCATCTGCCGATGTTTAGAAATTAGCGCTTCACAATTAGTATGAAAACCCGCTGTCAATAGCATTAACACTGGGTGTTTATGTAGTTGGGTTGAGTCTACTATAAGTAGAGTTTAACTAATTGGAACAACCTGTGTAGATTTCAAACGAAATAAACAAACGTCGAAGGATATTGTGAAAAAAATGTTATAGTACTAAAAGCAATCTGAAACATATACATGTGACTGTTTCACACTCCCCTTTTACTTCTCAGTAGTTAAGACCAATTTGGATTTATTTTTTCGATTTAAACAAATTTATTGCTCCAAATTTGAGCAGAGGATTAGACAAATATCAACTTATCAACGCCTTTTTCTCTAATACAGTACATATTGATATGTACATGATAGCATTTAAACAAGGCATACATACTATATTATACATTTATTATATTTTACTTGAAACCTGCTCTTGGATTTGATAAAAAGTTGCACGTGTCTGAATACGTATTGTATTGGTATCTACGGACAGATTTGCACTGCCAAATAAAAATAAACCTAATTTAACTGGAGACATATTCAACGAGCTTATATTTTGAAATAGCATAATTCGTGCTGTATTAAAAAGCTTGCATTCTAAGAAAAAGTGGACATCATCCTCACAGGAATGTCCAAAAGCGCATGATGGATTATAAGCCAAGCTGTCGATAGTTAAACCTGAGTCGTTAATACTCCTTGGCTCTTGGGTAGTGTTTCAACTTGTTCCGTAAAGATGTAGGTGGTGTTTCTAAACTGCATTGAAAACAAATGTCATAATAATTTCAGGATACCCGTATCACGGCCAAAAGATATAACTAAGTTTCGGAATGTTTTTCCCCCGGCATGACTGTAGCGTTAATTCATCAATTTTGAAAAGAAAATCACACCATATGAGACTTTTCTGAGAAGAAAATATATATAATCAATTAATTCCAGTGCTTTGAGCGTAAAAACGGGATTAGCAACAGTACGGTGATCCTTATTCGTAGCTTGAACAATTTAATTATGTTTACTGAATTTGACTTTCCTGTTTGTTGTAGGTGAGTTATCCTTCCGCCCACACGAGCGATGATGACGACACAGTTGTTTCACTTCCGGAATATGGCTCTCTGGGAATGCACGAAATCACAAGCCTCCCGGACACGTGACTTCATTCCTCAATCTTCATTAGTTTACAGTTTATCTATGGATCATTCAACGTGGTCAGTTAAACAGCTCCTATTCATTCCCAACAGTGTGTTTCATACATCTTTTTTATCGTGTTTACCGGAAGTGCATTGTTTGACTGTTGTCTTGGATATAGGATTACGTCATAACTATAAAAAAACGCCTTTTTCCTTAATGTCTGGAGATTCCATTACAAATACAGAGAACAGTGAACATCGTAAGTCACTTCCAGCCGAAGTGGCATGAGTGTGTAACGACTGGATGCAAGGACATTTTTATAGTTATGAAAATGTTTGATGTTTTTTTTTCTTTTTCTTTTTTCTTCGAAACAACGGCTTTATGGCGGACTACCGAATACGGGGAGGCTGGATAAAGATAATCTGAATGTGCATCCGATATTTGTTCTTCGTTTTGAAAAATCGTGAAAACACGGATATTCCAGGCATAAAGTGGGTTCTAGGTCTGTTGTTTCTGCGAGAATGGTCTGTAGCCGATCGATTAACATGCCACCAAAAACGGCAAAGGAGTACCGGATATCGCGTGTCAAAAGAGCATATCAAAGGATACAATCATTTAAATGAAACGACATCTACAATATCTTCAAAGAAAGCCGGTCGCTGAACAAATTAGACATTCATTTAAACGTTTATAAAGCCTGGCATGGATGGAACTTAACGACCATCGATTGCCTTAGAGCGGCCATATTTGATGTTTCCTTTTCCGATAGAGAATACCCAGAATGAAGATACAATTGAAAATGCCGGTGATAATCTCTGATCGACGCTTTCATTGGTTTGTGACGTGATTACGTTTCATCACGGTTAAACATGATTTAATTATACTAAATATAGCTGCATTAATTGTAGTTACTAGGAAACACTACCATCAAGATGTAACGGCATTATTCAAAATGTTCGTTTTGTTTAATCACTATGTGTAGATATTATGTAAATATGATCATCACTAATAAAATGTATTTATGGAAATTAAAAGTTTTGAAAATCATCTTTTTAAACATGATTGACAAGATATGATATTAACTTAATTATTTTTACAACAACTATGAAACAAGTTATTTAACTTATATTAAACATTCTTGTTGGCCAGGATGCTAGCGCAAAGTAGGTCTGAATGTGGGAGGAAACCAGGCAGCTAACCTCATACTTTTTCACCTCCGAGCTGGGAATCGAACCCCGGCCGCCTTGATGAAAGACGAGAGCGCTATCAACGGCACCAGCCGGACATGATTGATAACGGGAGTTATAATATTAATATTGCTATCCTTCTTCGTCTGTCTTTGTGTGTCATACGTTTGCAATTGCATATAATCGAGTTCTTAAGACATTTAGGAGTAAAGGTGGGGTTCCTGCCTATGTTAACATTTCCATAGACCCTGCCAACGCACGGATTTTCATAAAACTTTGCAAGTACTTCAATCAAACCATGGCTGAACAGAAACAATAAGTTTTATTCGAAATCATGCAAAAAGAAAAGCCCCACAGGCCTGGCGTGCATTTTATCAAATGAATGCTTGTTATCCCCTTTTGAAGCTCCATAACATTTTTCTTACTGTATTTTATTCCGTGAAAAATGCCTTTATTGATAACAGACATGCTAACAGTTAAAATGATACCAATATTGAATATGTCCGTAAGATAGTTAAGTTGACAGTGAACAAAAACTGACCAGATTAAATCATTTTTCTGTTGAAATTTCTAATGCAGGTTATTTCAAACAACACATTTTCAAAGTTCCTCAGAGTGTCTCATTCAAATATTTTATCAAAATTTATTTTGCTGAATTTACTATCAGATATAAAAGAAATATTGAAATTAAACAACGGGAAAGTGTATTTTTTCGATAGTGTTGAATTTCTGCAACACAAGCGTGCATTTATCTAAATCTAGGTCACAGATGCACATTTTCCAACCATAACGTTTTACTTTTCTTGTATCACTATACAGCGTTTGCTTTATTTGTATCAATCACACATCGTCCCATATCAAGAGGGGGGAGGGGGTATATGTAAATGATCAGCGCATTAGCTAGACTGGGACACACACCAAAGACCTTCAAACTACTAGTTGTACTCTCTACCAACTAGGCTATCACAAATGATACCCCATATCAGCAAACAACTGACCTCTTAAAATTAGACACACGTTTACAAGATAGTTCTGATGAAGTTGGCTTTGAAAAATTTCCCAGAAAGTATGATATATAAGCAGTATATATGTGCAGACATTCCAACAGTTCGCTTACCAGTGGGGCAGGTACAGTACTAGTCTTTGATAGGATCTGTGGAATCTGCAACATCATACTGAACCCAGACATTGTATTTTGTTTGTGATTTATGTCTACAATGAATCTAATCCCTGAGCAAACCAGTTGAATGTTGATGCACCCAAAACTCAGTCACCTGAGGAAGTCCGCTATATATCCTGCTGCTTGCTGAACAAGTTCCAGAAATTTTGTATACAGGTTTTAAACCGAAAAGAACTATATAGTATCATAGTAGAAGAGACTAGTGTAAGACAATGTAAATACAACTTAATGAAAATGAAAAGAGAGTGTAGTCATAAGACAATAAGAATTTTTAAAAAATGAAATAAGCAAGACAGACCAAGCTGGAAGGATAGCTTGCAAGGCAACCAGACAGCAAATGTGTGTTGTGAGCAAAGGGTGACGTTATATCTTCAGTCAACGAGATGTTTGTATATGCTGGAGTAATGGGTAAATACTGGGGTATGTCATGATAATTACCTGCGTTCATCTGATGATAATGATGATGATGACGACGACGACATTAATGATGATATGTTGGTGATGATAATGATGATGATGATTTGATGTTGGTGCTGATAATGATAATGATGATTTGATGTTGGTGATGATAACGATGATGACGATTTGATGTTGGTGATGATAATGAAAATGATGATTTGATGTTGGTGATGATCATGATAATGATGATTTGATGTTGGTGATGATCATGATAATGATGATTTGATGTTGGTGATGATCATGATAATGATGATTTGATGTTGGTGATGATCATGATAATGATGATTTGATGTTGGTGATGATAACGATGATGACGATTTGATGTTGGTGATGATAATAATGATGACGATTTGATGTTGGTGATGATAATGGCGATGATGCTTTGATGTTGGTGATGATAATGATGCTGACGATTTGATGTTGGAGAGGATAATAATGATGATGATTTGATGTTGGTGCTGATAATGATAATGATGATTTGATGTTGGTGATGATAACGATGATGACGATTTGATGTTGGTGATGATAATGACCATGATGATTTGATGTTGGTGATGATCATGATAATGATGATTTGATGTTGGTGATGATAACGATGATGACGATTTGATGTTGGTGATGATAATAATGATGATGATTTGATGTTGGTGATGATCATGATAATGATGATTTGATGTTGGTGATGATCATGATAATGATGATTTGATGTTGGTGATGATCATGATAATGATGATTTGATGTTGGTGATGATAATAATGATGCTGATTTGATGTTGGTGATGATAATAATGATGCTGATTTGATGTTGGTGATGATAACGATGATGACGATTTGATGTTGGTGATGATAATGAAAATGATGATTTGATGTTGGTGATGATCATGATAATGATGATTTGATGTTGGTGATGATAACGATGATGACGATTTGATGTTGGTGATGATAATGACCATGATGATTTGATGTTGGTGATGATCATGATAATGATGATTTGATGTTGGTGATGATAACGATGATGACGATTTGATGTTGGTGATGATAATAATGATGATGATTAGTGTAGTCATAAGACAATAAGAATTTTTAAAAAATGAAATAAGCAAGACAGACCAAGCTGGAAGGATAGCTTGCAAGGCAACCAGACAGCAAATGTGTGTTGTGGGCAAAGGGTGACGTTATATCTTCAGTCAACGAGATGTTTGTATATGCTGGAGTAATGGGTAAATACTGGGGTATGTCATGATAATTTCCTGCGTTCATCTGATGATAATGATGATGATGACGTGTTGTTGGTGATGTTGTCGAAGATGATGATGATGATGATGATGAGGATAATGATGATGATGATGATGATTTGATGTTGGTGCTGATAATGATAATGATGATTTGATGTTGGTGATGATCATGATAATGATGATTTGATGTTGGTGATGATAATGGCGATGATGCTTTGATGTTGGTGATGATAATGAAAATGATGATTTGATGTTGGTGATGATCATGATAATGATGATTTGATGTTGGTGATGATAACGATGATGACGATTTGATGTTGGTGATGATAATGGCGATGATGCTTTGATGTTGGTGATGATAACGATGATGACGATTTGATGTTGGTGATGATAATAATGATGACGATTTGATGTTGGTGATGATAATAATGATGACGATTTGATGTTGGTGATGATAATGGCGATGATGCTTTGATGTTGGTGATGATAACGATGATGACGATTTGATGTTGGTGATGATAATGGCGATGATGCTTTGATGTTGGTGATGATAATGATGCTGACGATTTGATGTTGGAGAGGATAATAATGATGATGATTTGATGTTGGTGATGATCATGATAATGATGATTTGATGTTGGTGATGATCATGATAATGATGATTTGATGTTGGTGATGATAACGATGATGACGATTTGATGTTGGTGATGATAATGACCATGATGATTTGATGTTGGTGATGATAACGATGATGACGATTTGATGTTGGTGATGATAATGGCGATGATGCTTTGATGTTGGTGATGATAATGACGATGGTGATTTGATGTTGGTGATGATAATGATAATGATGATTTGATGTTGGTGATGATCATGATAATGATGATTTGATGTTGGTGATGATAACGATGATGACGATTTGATGTTGGTGATGATAATAATGATGCTGATTTGATGTTGGTGATGATAATGATGATGACGTGTTGTTGGTGATGATAATGATGACGTGTTGTTGGTGATGATGATGATGATGATGATGATGATGAGGATGATGATGATGATGATGATGATGATGATGATGATGATATTGATTATGATGATGATGATGATATTGATTATGATGATGATGATGATGGTGATGATGATGACGATGATGATGGTGATCGGGTATGTATGGCATGGCATCAAAAGGCATCAAAAGGTGGCCGCCTCCAAGGATGTTCTTTGGATTTATATCCAGTCAGTCTGTGCTAGTGGGGTAGATATATAGGATATGCTGGTAGACTATGTTCCCGGTTCTCAATTTTTATTAAAAAAAATCACTAATGTAAACAGTACCCTAAAACTAATTTGTAAAGACTAATGAAGATGACATCAAATATTGGGGTACCCCCTTATTTTCAGGGAAAAAAATCCAATACAGGCCCTTTCTGCCTTTTCTTTACAAACTTTAAAATAATGATATCAGTTTCTGAAGTGAATTCACCTGAACATTAAAATTGCAAAGTTTGAATAAAGTCCATGCGTGGGCAGATAAAAAAAAACTTTGAAGTTGAAGAATCTTAAAATAATAATAACAATTCGAGGTTCTTATATACCGCTTTATCACAACCTAGTTCGTAGGTCGTCTCAAAGCGGTTCACAAATTATTATCCGCGGTTATAGGGCCTTTGCAACCAGCCAATATCTGTCTCAACTCCCTGGGGAGCAGAGTGAAAACAATTAATTAATACACGCAACATTTGTAAAGACGAGAATGGATAAGGAAGGAGAGACTGTTAAACGTCCATTCAAACAATAATATCGTTATTTTGTAAATTAAAAAGGCAAGTGTTTCATACGTTTGTAAACCTTTATTGTCGACAGCCTCAACAGTGAAATACATGCACATGTATGAGTTATCTCCCTTGACCTGTAGATCGAGTCCCAGAACGAGTGCACACATTTCTCTATAAATTGTGATGTGTGAAGCCAAAAAAGTAACGTGAAGCATACATATCACTATTTTTGGCCTAACAGACATCCCCGATTGTTCATTTGGTATTAAGAATCGATAAATCAAATAAGTTATAACAGAGGTATAAGTTATTACAGAAGAAAGAAGAAAATTAACTTAAATTTTACTCGATTTTATGACTTACGCTTTTTATAAATTGAAATATAATAAATCTATATTACAGTTAAATGTATATTTTGTACACTGCTTCAACAGGAAGAGTATACAAGTGAGTCCTGCTTACTCTCACAAACAGACGTTTTCAGGTCTAGTCAACTATCATATATAAAAAGCTCTTTGAACTAGTTACCCGAGCAAGTTTCAATATTCGTATCGATGACTCCATTTTTGAAATAATGTTATTTGTCATAAGTAATGTGTACGAACAGGACCTAATTGGTTGCACTTGATTTTCATATGCAAATATTCTTATATGTCATATCACTCCAAAATGTGTCTATTTCAAATCAAGATATCTTCTGAATTCGGGTCCATACAGATCTTTGGTCTAAATTATCGTGCACCAACTTAAAAAGATGGTTTCAATGATGTCTGTTATAGTCAGATTCACAACCTAACTTTCAGGGGAAAAGCCAGAACTCCCGTTACCATCATGGCGTCACTGGTTTCTTTGATCAAACTGAAACATATTTCAATCAGGCTGAAATTAACATTCATTAGAAATATATTTCGATTTCAAAATACACAAATGTTCAATGAAATAGTTAATTTTACTGCGAAATTTATTATCATATTCATTTACAGTACCATGTTCGTGTAAATTAGCATCATGGTATTTAGTCTATCTAGCTGTACTCATTCATAGCGACATCGAAAGGTACATACAAAAAATATGTCTGATCATTTATATCACATACAATATATTTTATTGCCATTCGGAGTTACTCTTGACTGTTGACACCATAAACACTTAGTTAACATAACTATATGCTCACCTACACTCTATCGCCATTCGGAGTCCCTCCTCTGTTGGCTGACAATCCACTGCATAAGGCGATCGTCTGCTGTTGCCAGTCCCGGCACGATCAGCTGAGGGCGACTCACGGTGTTAGCAAAATAGTTGCTATACCTCCTTCCTTTTTCAGCCACGGTTTCGGAACTTGAATCTTCTGTCGGATTCTGGAACTGGAGGCTGAAGGACGGCAAACGTGGGCCACGTGCACCCTGAAGAGAAAACAGCATTACGAATAAACAACGACACTTCCTTAATCCCATTTCCGCTAAATCAAAATAGTTATTTCCGGTTTGGTTGTCTATTCTTCTTCTTCACTTCCGCTGAATACTAGCGGGCCATCAATGCTGATGATTTATCACTATTAAATATATATTTTAAAAGATACAAAATTTTATTAATTGCAGTGTTTAAGCGTTCCTTACCCCTGGTCTAAGTTGCCTGTTTCGGTAGTCCCTGGTCGCTACGGCTTGCTCGTCAATCAGTTTCTCCACTTCCGTCTCAAACTCTCCAATATCCTGAGATACTTTCGCTGGATCTGGTACTATGGCAGCCAAGTTCCTGGTTCCTATCGCGGCTTTTGGCCTGGCAAAAGCCCGGAAGTTGAACGTGGGAGGGAAAATGGACCCGTCACTGCTGGAGGAGGAAGATGACCTTCCATCGTCTTCTATTTCTAGTTTTGACATTTCATATCTTTCCAAAATGTCGTCAATCAGCGCCAACGCTTGGTCCTCGTGAATCTCTCTGTTGGTAGCCACTCTCTGTGAAAGGCTGTGCATTCTGTTGTTGGCTCTTTGCAAAGCAGTTTTCTTGAAGTCTTGACGCGAAGGAGTAGGCGGTCTATCCCATTCGCTTGATGACATGCCATCTCCATTCCCATTCCCTCTCCCGAGGTCTCCATCTGATGACAGCTCGTCTTGAATATTTAATTTGCTTCGCTTCCCTATCCGGAAGAAGTTTGATAGTCTTGATGAAAGTCTGGAAGAAGATCGACCTTTCCCTGTTACAGATGATAAGTCGCTGTTTGATGAATCCTGTCTTAAGTCCGAGGTTTCTGTATGGTAGGGTGGGATATTCATTTCGCTCTCAGATTCATCCATGTAATTTGGAGGGTACCTATGTAGACTTATCACATCGTCTTCCTCTGCATTTGACACTGACAGAGCTAGGTGACATTTTTCTACAATATCTCTCGTAGCTGGCGCAGTGTGGCATTCCAATTCTTTCTTGTAGTCTGTGAATATTGAAGTCTGGCTTAGGACTTCCGATGTTTTCTCGTCAGCCTCACGTGACGGATCTCTGACCTTCGTGAAGGTACAACCCATGTTTATCTCGATATTAAGAAGGAGGTAGAATATGTGTGTTCATCATATAGCTCGTAGCTAGGCTAGAGTTGCGCGATCCCGGAATGCAATTATAACAATGACTCTGACGTCATAATGCTTCATTGACTATATGACGTCATAATGTTACTTCGCTCTCTATTGCATACGCCGTGGATTTCAGTCTCTGTGTGGCTGTGCACACTTTCAAATATTACTCATTCGGCGATTTAATTATTTGAGGGCTTTCAATGCGTAAATTGTTTTCTTACATTAATTACTCATTAAAAGCTTTCCCTTCTACAGATAATAACTCCACTCAAACCGTTCGATCGCAACATTCGAATGGGCGCTCGGAAAACCTCTGGTGTTTTCTTCCACATTTAGGACAGATATACGTTCAAAGATATGTCAACAACTTAATCGAACAGCTGTTGTTTTTTTTGCTGTGCTAAAAGTAACAGAAATATGCAATTACAATGTAGCACATTTTTTTTTCTCTCTTGTTGTTAGTTTTAACATAAAATTTCTCTTTTAGACCTATCACCATCCAAATCAATTATCGTATGTATGTTGTTCTCACATTTAACCCCAGAAATGCCATTTACGATTGCATTACAATCTTAAACCGTAAAAGTCAACTGTCAGTCTGACAAAGAGGCGGGAGTTTCTTATATTAAAGTGAAGAATTAAAGAAAACAATAAATAAACATAAGTATTCGTTCACACTATCATTCAGTGAAAAGATTAGGTAGTCCGTTTGAGTTAAATTACGCTTTGGTAAAGCTAACTTGAGATGGATAGCTTTGCAAGAGTACTACTGGTCTATAAATACAAACCATCTACCTCATCAAGTGCGCAGTCGAATCGGATACTTTGACCGGTTTTCTGGTTGATTGGAGATGAAGAAAAATATCCCTTGAATCATATTAGTCACCAGAAGTAGATCAGGCGCCGTCTTTATGAAACCGTTCTCATGCTCAAAACTCGGAGTCTGTGCTCAAGTCCAATTTTCGGTCTTGCTTGGTGGTAAGTGTATGAAAACAATCACATTTTGACCATTGGAAGAATTTTGAGCGACTGTAAGCCAAATACCGTTTTCAATGTTTATAGTTGTTTTTTTTACCTTGTCACTTGAATTTAACGGGTTACAAGAAAGGTGATTTGAGCACAGAATCAATACTTGAGCATGAAAACAGTTTCATGATTACAGACCGAGGGTGATTTTGTATTGAAATACAATCATAAGCACGAGTTGTCCCCCTTCAACTATACAATTTATCAAGGTTCAGCTTGCGTACTTGAAGACAAATATGGCAATTTCCCTTTGTTCCCCGGATTTGTTTTTAATTTTTTATCTTAATGATACGGTTCAACGGGTTTTGTAGGCAAATCATCTGCATAAGCCAATTAAACTTGCTGTCATTACTAAAGGAAACAAATTGACATGATCTTGATAACTTGTTTCCGGAGCCCTTGCATACTGACTGTAGCAAAAATGAAATAGCGTCAAGTTTAATTTAAGATACTTTTTCTTTCGCCGGTAGTAGCATACCAGTTTATCCTTATACAATATAATAACAAAGTTAAAATGGTATTAATATATATTTCCTAACCCTTCTCATCATGTTCTAAGCAACAAACTTTTCTGGATACAATGTATCATTTTGAACAATGAATTTATTATAGTCAGGGTTTCTATTAGAGATGCTTCAATCTACACAATTTCCGTGTATAGGTGTTCGGTCTATCAAAGTTCCGTTATAAAGAAGTCTGATGTATCGAGGTTCCGTTGTAACCTAGTCTGATGTATCGAGTTTCCGTTGTAAGCTAGTATGATGTTCTGTCGATGTTCCGTTATACGGCAGTCTGATTTATCGATGTTCCGTTGTAAGCTAGCAGTATGTATCGAGGTTCCTTTGTAAGCTAGTCTTATGTATCGAGGTTCCGTGGTAAGCTAGTCTGATGTATCGAGTTTCCGTTGTAAGCTAGTATGATGTTCTGTCGATGTTCCGTTATACAGCAGTCTGATTTATCGATGTTCCGTTGTAAGCTAGCCTGATGTATCGAGGTTCCGTTGTAAGCTAGTCTGATGTATCGAGGTTCCGTTGTAAGCTAGTATGATGTACTGTCGATGTTCCGTTATACAGCAGTCTGATTTATCGATGTTCTGCTGTATAAGTGTCCGATGTATCGAGTATTCGTTGTATAGGTGTCCTATGATTCGAGATTCAGTTGTACAGGTGAGTAGTGGTCTGAGACGTATATAAGTGCACTGTATCAAATTTCAATTGTAGAGGAGTTCGATGTACATGTATTAAAATCCCGTTGTATAAGTGACCGGTGTAACAAGGATTCGTTAAATAAGTGTCTATTTTATCGATGATTCGTTTCACAAGGAGTCCGGAAAATCCGGTATATCAGGGTTCTGTTGATGTGAGTCCTTGTATAAAGGTTCTGTTGTGTAGGAGTCAGGTGTATTGAGGTTCTGTTGTAGAGAGTCATGTATATCGATGTTCTTTTTAGGGAATCCGGTATATAAAGGTTATGTTGTATAGGAGTCCGGTGTTTCAGAGTTATGTTGATGTGAGTCCGGTGTATAAAGGTTATGTTGATTGGAGTCCGTTGTGTCGAGGTTCTGTTGTAGGGAGTCCGGTATATCGAGGTTCTGTTGTAGGGAGTCAGGTGTATCGAAGTTCTGTTAAGGGAATCCGGTATATCAAGGTTGTGTTGTAAAGGAGTCCGGTGTACCAATGTTCTGTTGAAAGGAGAACGTCGATAAATGTTCTGTTGTATAGGAGTCCGGTATATCGAGGTTCTGTTTAGGGGAATCCGGTATATCAAGGTTTTGCTGTATATGAGTCCGACGCATAAAGGTTATGTTGATGGGAGTCTGTTGTGTTGAGGTTCTGTTGTAGGGAGTCCGGTATTTCTAGGTTCTGTTTTAGGGAGTCCAGTGTCTGAATTTGCAATGTATGGCGTTGAAACCCATTAACATATATATACTGTCAATAAATACCTTTTGTTAACTGAAGAATGAAATAATGGAATTTATGTCGGGTGCAGGTCGATATTTTTTCTCCGGGTACTCCGGTATCCCTCAGCCACCTAAACCTGGCACGTCCTTAGATGTCCATATCTATTAAAAGGACGTCAAGCACAAACTACAGTAACAGACATCCACCCAGCTACAATTGTAGCTGTCAGCATATGATGGATAGGCATTGATAATCGCTCGAAATTATAATGAATTGTTGTTAAAGTATTATTCCTGCGTCCATTCTACCGCTGATACGGTATCTCTTTGGCGAGTTTTGATAGATTGGGACTTCCATAATTCAAAGTCTCATCAAAATTTGAACAAATGAGAAATTGATTGGAATTTTATACAATTGATTTTCATAATTCATTACCATTCTAATTATTTCGATTGTTGAACGAGATATCAAATTCAAGTTCTTTCAAAGATTTTATGTAAATTAGCCATTTCGTTCTCATATGATGCTACTGATAAAATGTTGTTCACAGATTTTATTCACAATTACCATGCGGCCAAGACAATCGACGATTGGATGTGCTTTCATTTGAAAGTTTCATTTTTTTTTTCTTCTTCATCTTATACATCAAATTGAAATTACAATCTATCTATGGGCTGTAAAACCCGTTTAAATTGTTTGAATTGTTTCTGCACTCTCGTTTAACCCAGCCTAACAGACGGTAAGGTAAGATTGCATGATATGTTTGTGTTACCGTACCAAACCGACTATAACCGCCAGCTCGTTTAACCAAAATGTAAAGTCACAAACTCAACATAAGTGATGTGCTTCAGTAACCATGTAGTCTTTATCGTCAACAAAAATCACGCTTCATGAATATCCAGGTTCAGGTCGTAGAATTTTATTTTCAGATATGAATGCAAAATAAAAATAACATTACACCTCGCAACCTGCTTTAGATAAGTAATATTGTCTACACAACATATAAAAAGTAAATAGATAAATAAAAATCGTAAATATATGCAAATATCACATAAAACATCCATAAATGAAGAGAGTCTGAAGATATACAGTTTGATAAAAAAGTCCTTTTATCAATTGAAATATTGATTAGTGAAACAATAAACCGGTTGTGACATTGTCATGATCAGATAGGGATGCAATACCCCCTCCCCCTCCCCCCCC